ACAAGGTGGTCGGGTAAATCAAATGCAGCAACAGCGATATTTGGAACATTTGCTGAGCCAACTTCAACAGTGTTTGTCAATTTAATTTTATGTCTGTCATAAATATGCGAATCAGAAAATTTTGATACTAAGACATGTCATGAAGCTAAGACATTGCTTATGTCATTCCTGAAATTTGACATCATTTTGACTGCCTTTACCTACCTGCGAGTTTTTGAAAAAGTGGGACTTTCAATATACCTGCAAACTCGTATATTAAATGTGTTGGTTGCATTCAAGATGGTGGAGAAGGCCGTAATTGAATTGAAAAGTCAATCAAGACTTTTTGATGATGTTCATAATAACGCTCTTCAATTTGTACGGATGGCAAATGCAAGCATCATTCAGAGAACTGAAACCATATTAGAGGTAAAGATAGAACTACCAGCTAAACGGAAGCGGAAGACACCAATGATGTTAGATGAACATACAGTAGACGAACGTGACGAATCTAAAGCTTTGGAACACTACAAAATTCACACTTACAATGTGGTGATGGATCAGGTAGTCCAAAGTCTTGAGTCACGTTTCACTTCACATCTACAATTATATATGGACATGGCATGTTTTGATACATCAAACTTTGGTGATCTTGCCATTTCGGGAATTCCTGAAAACAGTTTACACAGCATTATCAAATTTTTACCAGATGCCGACGTTGATAAAATAAAGGCCGAATTGTTATCATTTGTCACTAACTATGAGATTTTGAAATTGTCCTTGCCCTTAACAACAACATTGAGAGAGAATGCATATCAAAAGGATGACATAGAAGAACCGTTCTGTTATCAGCATACAAATGGAGCATGAGGATTGTGACCATCTTGTGTGTTACGAATTCTTGCTGCATATAGACTCAATGACAAAACCTATGACAATTTGTATCATATTTATAAAATAATATGTACTATTTCTGTAACACAAGCCGAATGTGAAAGATCGTTTTATAAGTTAAAGTTAATCAAGACAAGATTGCGTAATTCTATGTCAAATGACCAGTTAGAGTCGTATATGTTGATGTCTGTAAAAAAAAATCTACTTGATAGCCTTGAGTATGATCATTGAGTATGATCATAGCCTTGAGTACGATCATTTAAAGATATGCATCTTCGTCCTCAGAATTGAGCAAACTGTTTAAAGAATAGTTATTGCTATACTTTGCACTGTGCAAATTGCACATCACTTCTACTTTTTTAATTCAATATAATTTTATCAATCTGTGATTTAATTGCTCCTCTTAAGAGAGTTGTGGACCGGACAGTCTATGCGATATATGTATGGCCGGGAGGGCCCTTTAATTATTTTCATGGCCGGTAATATATATAGAGCCAGTCCGCCACTGGGTACGAATTAACGGTTTAGCTTCAAATTCAATAAATTTTTTAAAGAAAAAATGTTTTTCGGTTTTTTTTTAAAGTGCACTTTTCACATATATAAATATAAAAAAATTAAAAAAACTATTTTAAAATTAAAAAAAAAAATCGATTTTTATAAAGAAAAATAACGTTTGCTTTTCTCCTTATAATTGGGGAACAGCAACTAATTAATTTTAATAACAATTGATTAAGATGCTAGGAAAATCAAGCTAAATAAATTAAAAATATAATGAAAACTAATCTCATTAGAAATTATGTTTACAAAAAAAATATTTTAATAAAATTACACAAAAAACTATTTGTTAATTAAATAAATTTGAGTTGTTTCCATGGTCAGAAGCTTCGTGAAAGGTCCGCAAAATTTTTTTATGCAAAGAAACTCTTTAACAATTTTGTATTGTTTGGTTAACTACGATCGAGAAACCCAAGATTTGCAACTAAAAGCTTTAGATTGGTACCCCATGATGTTTTGAGTTAGCAATGTTTCTTCCCAAACACTGCAACATTTTTTGCATCTCTTGATGTCTTAGCCTTGTTTTTCTGAATGTTGCATTTGCTGAGTTTCATCTGAAATTTCACTGAAAAAAGTTTTGTTTGTAATTAAATGAAACTTTCTTTTGTTAAGTTATTGAAATTTGTAGCTGCATGAAATTCTGTAAGTAATGTCTTAAAAAAAAACTCAAAGTCATAAGTAATCCATGTAAAAAAAAAATTATAAAATTTCAATAAACCAATCAATATTGAAAGTTTTCTGCGATTGGTGTCTATCGCTAGAGACATTTTGGGCTAAACTTGTATTTGATTTATAATAAAACAAGCATAAAGATCATAGATATACTTCATCCCCCATTTTTAAATTTTATCTTAAGATTATACTCTGACATTGATAACATTGTACCAAATAAAAAAATTGTACCAAATAAAAAAACCAGAAAAGTTATTACAAAAAATGGACACTCCAATTATAATTATACTTTTGAGTAAAAATTAATTATTAAAAAACTAAAAATCTTTATATAATATAATTTTTTTAAGGTGAGTCAATTCAGGTGTAAATAGACTATATCTTATTATAGTCTATTCGCACGTTTAATATATATATATATATATATATATATATATATATATATATATATATATATATATATATATATATATATATATATATATATATATATATATATTATATATGATAAATTGATATATATATATATATAAATATATATATATATATATTATATATATATATATATATATATATATATATATATATATATACACTACGGTGCGCATATCCTTTTTAAGTCAGCCAACGTAAGTACTGCGTTAGTACTCCATTGCGCTAGTTTGATTTTAAAATTAAAAAACAATAATAAAAATCTAGTTTTTTTAAATTCCCTTTTAATTCTATAATACTTACCTTTTTTCAAATAAACGCGAAAATAAACTATAATTAAATATAGTCTATTCGCACGTGAAAAACGTGAAAAACGTGCGAATAGACACTACGAAATTTTTAAGCTTAAAAATTTGTAAAAAACCAACAAAAAATTTGTAAAAAACATTTTAAAGAAATAATGAATTTTAAGTAATCTAACTAGTAAATAAAAAAAATGGCAAACTCTTCTTATAACATGCTGCAATGAAAGATATTTTAAAGGGATCCCTAAGTGCTCCTAACATATGATCTCATATGAAAGAGCATAAAAAAAAAATATGTATGTTTTTTTTCTTTTTCACTAAATTGTAATAATAAATGCATGCTAACAAAAAGCAATTGCCGAAATCACTAAAAAACAACTCCATTTTGATTTTATTTTTTCACCATTGAAACTCGATTGTTAGTCGTTAAAAATCACGTTAGTACGTCACAACAACTTTAGAATATCTACTTCGATTTTCAAGTAAAAAAAAGTCGTGATTAAATAGTTAAGTTTTAATCAAATTTTTTAATTAGTTTTGCAAAAACAGTATAATAGCATTCGGTTGAAAGACGTCGTTAAAAAAAAGTTATAAGTAATAGTTTTAAATAGTTTAGAACTTATAAAAAAGTCTTACAGGGCTCGTATTAATCGCGATCGCGATTGCTACACACACTTTTGTGTGTAGCAATCTTTTCTTAAAAAAAATCTTTTCGCGACTCATTTTTTTTTTGGTTGATTAATTACTTTTTTTCTAGCTTAGCATTTTTTTAGCAATTCTTGAAAGTAATGTTTTTATCATAAAGAACGTCACACAAAATTTATTATTCTGAATAGATAGATGAATAGATGATTTGCTCTTTCGCGCGGAGATTTTCTTTCAACGTAATTCATTTTTGAATTTAAATTACTTTAAATCTCTGCGTGGAAAATTTTTACAAGGTCGTCAAAGCGAAAAGTTGAAAAGTTGGTTTTTATCTTTGTTTATCAAAACTTCATGTTTAAAATAAGGCTAAAATGTTAAAGCAAAAAAAATTACTGACTTTTATTTGCATTTTTATACTGTTTGAAAAAAAAAAACTAATAAAAAAGAATTAATATATAATTATTAATTAATATATTATTAGTTAATTCTTTTTTATTAGTTTTTTTTTTCAAACAGTATGCTAATATAAACATATGCTAATAAAAACCAGCAATTTTTTTACTATAACGTTTTTAAGCCTTATTTTAAACATGAAGTATAATTCGATTTATTAAACCAAATTTTTTTGTTTTATCTTTTATTGGAAAACTTGAAATAGAAAAATTGAATAAAAACATCAACCTTTATTCAAGAAACAATAAATTATAAAAAACGTGGTATCTAAGTTTTTGACGATGTTTTTTGATTTATTGACGATAACTTTTTCCCCCCATTACCGCACATCGGCGCGAGCTATAAGAGAGAGGGGGGAAGGGGAGAGAGCAAAAAAAAAAAAAATTTTTTTTCGCGATTAGATTTTTTTGCATTAATTCGAGCCTTGTCTTAGATTAATTTCTAATAAAATGTCTATTCAACCTTATCAATTTGAACCAAAAAAATATAGCAATTTAACATAAATGTTAATTTAACTAAAACATTTTGCAATCATTATTTTTTTTATCAAGCAAAAATGAGAGTAACCGTTACTTTTGAAACCATAAAAATTACTGAAATAAATTAATTTTTTTACTAAGGAAATATTTTAAATAAACTTTCATATGTCTAAGTCAATATTCATTTGTTTTTAACTGACTAAAAAGAGTTTAAAATTTGACTTCTATTCATTTTTAGCCGTGGAATTGCCCTTATAACACAAATATATAAATTAATATTATAAAAAAAATTTTAATATACAAATATATTTTCACAAAATGCTACAAAACTTATTCTTGTAAGTAATTATGTGTTAGTTGAAAAAAAACGACTTTACTTTTAAATTTAATTACCAACTAATAAATTTGCAATAATGACATTTTGTCTACTTTGTTTAATTTGACGTACTAACGTTAGTTTTTTGAGGCAGTAGAGTCAATAAACTTTGGACAAGACGCATTTTTTTTAATCGAAGAAAAGCGTTTTTTTGAAAATTAAATTTGTTAGTGTGTGTTCATTATTACGTTTTAGAAAAAATAATATACATCAAACATTTTATTTTTTTATGCTCTTTCATATGAGATCATATCTTTATAGCACTTAGGGATCTCTTTAAATTGGCTTATAGTTGGATGTCGTCAAGTACAGCCTGCCAATATCTAAACAACAAAAATAAAAAATTACTAATGTCCCATCAATTTATCATACATGTTCTATCTTCATTCAATTAAAAAAAATTCTAATTTATAAATTTACACACACTGTAATTCGCATAGCTTGTTGAACAGCCTAACTTTAGATATGTCGTGGATTAATTAGCTAAACTTAATCTTAAATCAATAGTCTGATAATATGAATACGCTAATTTAATATTATTATTATTAGTCGAGTTACGTCATTTTCTAGGCTTTTCTATTTTAAAGTAGTTTCTAGGCTTTTCTATACGCGGTTTTTTTTTTAATTTTATTTACTAATATATATGTTTATATGTATATATATATGTTTATATATATATATATATATATATATATATATATATATATATTATATATATATATATATATATATATATATATATATATATATATATATATATATAATTTAATTCAGATAAAACTCAATTTTATTCGGCCAATCGTTATCGTAATAATTTAGATCTTCCTATATTTATGAATGGTAATGTACTAGATGAGTCATCTACCATTCATCTTCTAGGATTAACTCTTACTTCTGATCTTTCTTTTAAACCGTATATCAAATCCATTGCAAAATTAGCATCTGCTAAGGTTGCATCTCTTTATCGAGCTCGACACTTTCTTACTCCAGATTCTATTCTCTATCTCTATAAATCTCAAATCCGTCCCTGTATGGAATACTGTTGCCACATCTGGGGCGGATCTTCTAATGATGCTCTTTCTCTTTTAGACAAGGTGCAAAAACGAATTGTAAACATAGTTGGACCTGCTCTGGCAGCCAATCTCCAACCTTTGTCACATCGTCGTAATGTTGCTTCTCTTTCTCTTTTCTACAAATACTATAATGGGCACTGCTCTAAAGAGCTAGCGTCCTTTGTGCCATCTACTAAAATTCATTCTCGTGTTACTCGCCATTCAATTAAGTCTCATCCTTTTTCTGTGACTGTTCCTAAGTGCTTCAAAAACTCTTATTCTTCTAGTTTTTTTCCTCGAACATCAGTTCTTTGGAATTCGCTTCCTTCATCTTGCTTTCCTGATTCATATAATTTGCAATCTTTTAAGTCATCAGTCAATCGTTATCTTGCTCTACAGATTTAGTCTTTTCTCTTCCAGTAACTTCCAACTCTTATAGTGGTTGCTTGCAGCCTTGTTGGAAGTGAAGATGTTGAAAAAAAAAAAAAAAATATATATATATATATATATATATATATATATATATATATATATATATATATATATAAACATATATATATATATTATATATAAAAAGAAAATGGTTTTAAATCTTGGTTCTTTGTTGTAATGTCGCAACGAAAGAATTTTTTACTTCAAAACAAAAAGGATTTTTATACAAAAAAACTATACTATGTTAAATTAAGTGACGTTTTTGTAGTAATTTTCGTAACGATATTTTACTTATTAAAGAAATATGTATATATATATATATATATATATATATATATATATATATATATATATATATATATATATATATATATATATATATATATATATATATATATTACTATATCCCAGACAGCAAGCTTACATTGGACCAACGTTGGGCCAATGCATGATGATGCATTGGCCCAACGTTGAAAATCGATGTTGGCCCAATGCAGGTTTGATCATTGGTTAGGTATTGGCCCAATGTTGTGTACAACATTGGCCCAATGTTGTATACAACGTCTACCCAACATTGGCCCAACGTTGTATACAACATTGGCCCAACGTTGTATACAACATTGGCCCAACGTTGTATACAACATTGGCGCAACGTTGTATACAACATTGGCCCAATATCGTATGTTATATATCGGCCTAACGTTTTATGCAACATTAGATCGTTGTTACAAATAAGATGATTTGCATCGCTACATTAAAAATTTATAGAGAAAAAAAAGAATGTATGATACAAGTATAAAAATTTATTTATTTAACATAATTTCTAGGTTAAATATACACATTGCAAACACCAAACTTAAACCAAAAACTGACACATTGAGTTTCAAATAAAAAAATTCACTATAAAATTTATTTGACTTCACAGTTTCTACAAAAAAAAATAGTTCTTTGTTTAATTATGCACCAAAGAAACATAACAAATTGAAATTATTTCTGTAATGCAAAATTGAGACTGAAAAAATAAACTTTTCTAAACCACTTACCAATAGCAACATATGCAATCAACATTTTTCCTATTCCAATTTTTTGTCCTCTCCCTGTATAGTTTAATTTTACAGCTATGCCATTTTAAGAAACAATTCTTAGTAAATAACATATACAATCTCCTTTGTCTTTAACTCCAAATTGTGCCAAATAATTGACCTGCAAAAATACACAACCTGGCAATAATTAAAGTAACTTTTGTTTAGATTTAAATTAATATAAAATGTCATTTACAAGAAATCTTCAAAGAGTACTTTATTTAAAGTATATAAGTTGTACTAAGATATCATACAAAATGCCTAAACAGATCATAAAAAAATATTACCCTAGTTACTCAAATTTTTATAACTGAATTTGATGTGTTTTGTATTTCACCAAGTTGCACTTCAATGCTTGCCTATTGTGTCAATAATACCAGCATATCTTTCAAGGATACAACTTTACCTTGAACATTAAAGTTAATTATATTATTAAGAAACTATACAACTAATTACATATTATATTTAGAATTTATGAAAGTAAATACAACAATCACTAATAAAACAGATAAAATTATAGAAAGAGAGTCAAAACTTTAATGATAAAAATATATACTTGCTAATGGATTCAAAATATTTTTATGAATTTTGAAATTTGCAGGTGTGCATTTAATTTCTGGCACTGACACAAAACAATTTTCGTTAATGTTTAAGCGTACACATTAACGAGAATTGTTTTGTGTTTCTTATAAAATACAGATTGCACTGTACAACAAAAAAATTCATATTAAAACAATGTTTCTCTAACAGGGTTCGTAGCCAACAGTTTATATAAAAATCAATGACTTTTTTGAAAAATCAAATGAATTTCCCTGACCACTTTTAACAATCATTTTTACAAAATGTTTAAAATTACTATCTACTGTAATGGAAATGCTAAGATTGTACATGCTTTCAATGACAAAACTTTTAAAACTTAGCTATTAGTTAAGTTGGATATTAGTATGGAGCTTATTATACATGTTAGTATGGATCTTATTATTAAGGATGACTAAGAACAAACACTAAGAAAAACATAAGTTTCAGAAAAATTAAATGGGTAGCACCAAAAAAAACATAATAGCTTAATTGAGTGCTGCATTTTGAAAATGTGACAAGTCACAAAATTAAAATTTTACAAGAGAATGAAAAACATTTCTCCTGTAAAAAACTTTATTTTTATTTTTTCTAAAAATTGTTTCTTTTATCCAAAAAAAATCTTTATTTTATCTTATAATTTTATCTTTTTCTAAAAAAAAATATTCTTTTCAAATAACCTCACTTTCATAAAAAGTGTAGTTATTTGAAATATAAAGTTGTCCAATGTTTGTAAATAACTTTTTTTAACATATTTCAATTCTGAATTTTAATAATACAGTTTTTAAAAATAATATCATCTATAAAAATATTGTATTACCTTCGTCTATAATATAAATTTAAATAAACGTTTATATAATGAATAATAATGAACCACCAGCAACTGTTAAAACTTTAAACTGATATGAATACTCTGTTGTTTTTTTCAACAGTTGAATTCAAACAGATTTCAAAGTTGGTGACACCAACTTTGAAATCCAACAAAAATTTTTTGTTACGTTAAATCGACTAGAAAACCTGGCCATTTTTTCCGTGTTCAGTATTAGAGAGGGATCGCTCTGGCTTCCCGACCAAGCTTTGATATGTTGATTATTACACAATAAAATGTTAATTAACACTATGACTTTTTGACTGTAATATATGAAAAAGTTTTTAAAGTTGTAAAAGCTAAAGCTATGAATAAAAATTTTCAATCATCAGACATAAAGACTTTTATATAAAAACTTACCATTTAATAAATTTGTTCATTCAACTTCTCAGAGCAAACATTGAACTTCTGTAAAGAGTTTGGAGTTACAGGTAAATCCCAAAGTTTAATAACATTTTTTGTTTTATTATAACAAAATGAAGATAAATCATCTACACCAAGATAAACACAATTTTTTGTCTCTTTAATCTTTATTTTGACTGGTCATTTTTGCTGTCTTCCTTTTTTGTCTCAAGAGCAGAAATTTAACCTTCTGCTAAATTCAATCTTGTATTGCTTTAAAAATCTATAAGTCAAATCATTAATAATTAAGTTATAACTAAAGTTAATGTATAAGCTTAAAGTTGTTAATTGCTGTACGCAAACTAAATATGAAAAATAGCCAAAATTGTTAAACTAAAAAATAATTAAACCTCAGAAACATGGAATATTAGAAAGCTCTACATACGTAGACTATAAGTTCTAGTAACACCACTTTTTGTACACTGTTTTAATATGTTAGTAGATGGGGTTTCATAATCAAACACAGAAAAAAATCAAACAAAAGAGACATATTTAAAATGTAAAATATTAGTTTTTAACAACTTCAATGGCATTGAAGTTGACATTGACAATGGCATCAACAATGCCACATATATATTATTGATACCTTTAATAATATATCTTTATAATAGCTATATAATCTAAACTATTATAAATAAATTATGAAAAAAAACAACTTATACTGTATGACATTTTAAATATTTGATTTATTTAATAAATAAGACATTTAAAATGTCTTCTTTATTAAATAAATCGAACATTCGAAATGTTTCATTTATTTAATAAAGATTATTAAATAAATCAAACATTTGAAATGCCAATAGAGTAATAAAAATAAAATAATAAATTTAAAATCTTACACAAAAATAATTTAATTATTGCCTTTATTATTACATTAATAATTTAGATTGTAGTAAAAAATGTTTTAAGCATATTATTTAAATGTTAACAAATATTTCATTATTTAAAAAAACAAAATATCAAGTCACGAGAATCTCTTGAAGTTTATTTCTTATAAGGAAGCTTTTAAGATTCTTAGAAGATTAATAAATATAGCTTCTTTATTTTATAATTAAAAAAAAAAAAAATGAAAACAAAACCTTTTTTTATTCTGTCAAACGATACCATTTTTAAAAATGTTTCTAAAGTATATACTGATCCGCAACTACATTGGCCAAATATTGGCCCAACGTAGTACGATAATTGCAAAAAACCGATTTGTAGAATTGCAATATTACGCCGAAAAAAAAAACATTGGCTAAATGTTGGCCCAATATTGTACGATATTTGCAAAAAACCGACTTGCAAAATTGAAAATAATACGCCGAAAAAAAACATTGGCTAAATGTGAAGTATATTCACTGCAGAATGCAATTGTGTAGCCGGTTATGGAGAAAGCTGCAAACATATATTTGCTTTGTTGTTGTTTGTCGAAGAGCATGTGCGATTAGGAGATAATGTAACATGCACATCAGTAAAACAAAAGTGGGGGACTAAAACACAGAAGAGAAAATTGCATGAGCCAGATATATTTCAAAATATTTCCATTAAAAAAGTCAAATCAAGCTTAGAAAATAGTAATCTAAAACTCAGTCGATTCTTATATGATCCTCGTCCTTATTATTTAAAGCAGTCAGAGTTTACAAAGGAAGATTGGGAAGCAGTTGCAGAAGCAACAGATGGAAAATGTGCTGTAATTTGCCTCAAGCCAAATATACAGTCAGAATACTTTATGAAAAAATTACCTTTAAATGCAACTAAAAACAAAGTGCTACCACCTACCATAGAGCATTATGTAGCTCAGATAGAATGTTCTTATAAGAATGAATCAATAACATTTAAATGTGAAAAATTTTTAAGGACGTTTTCAATAACACCATCTCAAGCAGAACTTATAAAAGAAGCTACGATATCTCAATCAAAAAGTTTACTTTGGAAATCATATAGAGTTGGAACAATATCATCATCTATTGCTCATGCTGTCATAGCAAAATTTGATGTTGACTTGAAAGTGAAAAACAAAAAGGCAGCATTTAATTTATGTGCTCAAATTTTATGTTACAAAAATAATGCTAAAAGTAAATCAATTCAATGGGGTAACATGTTTGAATCCTATGCTCGAAAAAGGTATATCAGGGAAATGAAAAAAACTCATAAAAACTTTACATGTTATCAAACCGGCCTAATAGTATCCATCAAAACACCTTATCTTACAGCAAGCCCAGATGGTATAACAAGTTGTACTTGTTGTGGGTTGGGTTTGCTTGAAATTAAATGTCCATGGACATTTAGGCAGAAAAAAATATGTGAATATGCTCAAAGTGCTGAAAGTTTTTTTGAAAAAAATTCTTGTACTAACACATACTCACTGAAAAGTAGTCATCAATATCGCACCCAAATACAACACCAGTTGTTTATAAGTGGCTATCCTCATGCTGATTTCTATGTATGTTTAGCAAGTGATCAAAACTGTGAAAGAATTTATTCTGATCCTAACTATAAAAAAAATGAACAAAAATTTCAGAAATTTTTTACAGAGTAAGTTTTCCCTGAATTGATAACTAAGAAACTTGAGAAAAAAGAAATAGTTTCTACAATTTTAAATGATCTCATAAAGAAATGCATTAATGATTCAAACAGTAAACAAGTTAATGAAAAATTAACAAACGACATCATAAATCTTGATCAACAAAAAATATGACATTGTGCTGAAAATTTGATGAAAACATTTATATTATAAGTATTTTGTGATGTTTTGTTTTTTTTTATACAAAAATAAAAAGAAAAAATAGAGATATCTTTTTATTAGTATCAGCATATTTAATTTACATCAGATAAATTCCTTTACAATTGAGGGTTGTAAATTACTTAAAGCTCCACAAATAATATATATGTAATCAATGAGATCTAGCATTGTTAGTGATAACTCGTTTTTACATATTTTAAATTCTTTAAGTCGTCGAATTGATCGCTCCACATGGACTCGTGATCTAGCAATTTCTTTGGCTGAGAGGACTTTAGTTCGTGTAAAATGTAGTCCTTTTTTTTTAAAAGGTGGACAAACCAATACGACTTTTTTTTTAAGAGCAAATCTTGGATATTAAAACCTTTATCAGCCAAGCAAACAGATCCTTCAGAAAACATATTAATAACATTGCAGTCCTCTGTAATGTGTCTATCTGAAGCTTGGCCACCATAAGCTTTGGAGATAAAACTGAAAGAACCAGTTTTTGTTGTCACAACTAGTTTTTTTAATGTGTTACATTTTTTATAAGTACTAAATGTTTGATACTGTGCCTTCGCATTTGATGGTTTCTAAATTTTTTGCTCAGTACCGTCTATTATACCTTCTACGTTGTGTAACTTTCCAGAAAAATGCCTTGCTTTTCATAACAAATTTGCTTCTTTTGTTGGCCAAAGAAGAAGAGGTTATAACTCATTTCCAAAATAAGTAATCCAGGTAGTTAATATACTTGAGCATTGAGAATTAGAAATTGAAAATCTAAATGCTAAATCTTGAATAGCCAAGTCTAGTCGGAGCTTCATGCACATTAGTAGAATTTCATCCTCAATTGTTAAAGTGCGTTTATTCCCTGGTTTTTTTTTATTCTCGCTTCTAAATTTAAAAGATTGTGAAGGTTTTCCCTTGTAATAACATACGTTTTCATATTTTTTCTTTCCTTTACTAACTAAAAACATAAATACTTTTTTTGTGCACCCAGTGTAGAACTTTATCAATCTATCCGAATGGGATAACCTATTCCAAGTAAACTCTGCTTGTGGTATCAAAGAAAACTTACTCAGCAATCGTTTACGATGTTTTAATAACAAAGGTTTTTTTAGTATTCTTTTGGGAGTATTTTGAAGTATTTTTAAGTCTTTTTCTAACGAAACAGAAACAGGAACAACAGGTACTGCATAATCGTGATCATAATGAATATCCATAGGCTGAGTATTTTCATTTTGATGATGATAATCATTATTTTTATCATGATTAATTATATTTTGATCGTGATTATATTCATTTTGATAATGATTATCGCTAAGCTTAGCAACAAACTTTTTCTTGTTGAGTTCTGAGGATCTTTTTAATGGAGATTTTCGGTTTTTTAGCTCATTATCATAACCATTTAAATATTCTGTGGGGTAGGGATAAATATTAGTAGGTCGTCCCATTTTAAAATGATTTGAACAGACTGGCGAGTTAAGAGAAACTCTAAAATGACTTCTAAAAAGTCCAATTTTTGAATTCCATTTAGGCAACATCTTAGCGTCCTTGCATCTCCAAAATTTTAGTTGCAAACTACCATTAAAACTGTTAATATGGTCTTTGATAACGTATTTATTTGGATATCTTCTATCGTTGTTGCAGTTTTGAACGACGCAATGATCCCCCCCACCCATTTTATAATTTATATAATTTTATTTTTTCTAATTTATATGTTTTATTTACTTAGTTTTTCTTTATTTATTTTCTTTAATTTACTTGTTTTGGTTTGTTTGCGCCTCCGTTATCCCATCATGCTTTATGCGTGAAATTTGAAAAATTAATATTGAAAAGGCGAATTCTACAAATCGGTTTTTTGCAATTATCGTACTACGTTGGGCCAACATTTGTCCAATGTAGTTAGGCTTAATATTTTGCTATAAAAATCTGTTCTTACATTTAAGCCGTAGCCAATATTCGGCCAATGTAGTTGCGGATTAGTAAATATTTTTGAAAATGGTATCGTTTGACAGAATAAAAAAAGGTTTTGATATTATCTTTCCATTTTTTTTAATTATATATATATAAAAAAAAAGAAGCTATATTTATGAATCTTCTAAAAATCTTAAAAGGTTCGTTATATGAAATAAATTTCAAGAGATTCTCGTGACTTAATGTTTTTTTTTTTTTTTAATAATGAAATATTTGTTACCAGTTAAATAATAAACTTGAAACATTTTTTACTGCAATGTAAATTATTAACGTAATAATAAAGGTAATAATTAAATCATTTTTGTGTAAGATCTTAAAATTATTTTTTATACTTATTGCTGTATTAGCATTTCAAATGTTTGATTTATTTAATAATCTTTATTAAATAAATGTAACATTTCAAATGTTCGATTTATTTAATAAAGAAGACATTTTAAATTCTTCTTTATTAAATATATCAAACATTTGAAATGTCATACAGTATAAGTATTGAAAAAAAATTTTTTTCATAATTTATTTATAATAGTTTAGATTTTATAGCTATTATAAGATATATTATTAAAGGTATCAGTAATATATATGTGGCATTGAAGTTGTTATAACAACAATCAAACAAAAAAGACATACTTAAAATGTTAAATATCAGCTTCTATAGAAGCTGATATTTTACATTTTAAGTATGTCTTTTTTGTTTGATTGTGAAACCCCATCTACTAAAATATTAAAACAGTGTACAAAAAGTGATGTTATTAGAATTTATATTCTACTTATGTAGAGCTTTCTAATATTGCCAGACATTTTGTTTTAAGACCAATGACTAGTCTAAAATAATTTATTGAATTATGAGATTAAATCAATAAATAATCTTTAAAATCAATTGAAATAAAAAGACTCAATTTAAATAATTATTTTTATTTGTCTGGTTTAAATCATGATTTAAATTGAAACAACCCTTTATATATTCCATCTTTCTGAGGCAGAGGGACATTATTCTTGGTTTTATAATTTTTAATTTAATATCTCTGGATATTTTTCATAATTAGTTTACGTAATGCAGTTAACAACTTTAAGCTTACACATTAACTTTCGTTATAACTTAATTATTAATAATTTGATTTATAAATTTTTATAGCAATACAAGATTGAATTTAGCAGAAGGCTAAACTTCTGCTCTGGAGACAAAAAAGGAAGATAGCAAAAATAACCAGCCAAAATAAAGATTAAAGAGACAAAAAAATGTGTATATCTTGATGTAGATGATTTATCCTCAATTTCTTATAATAAAACTAAAAATATTATTAAACTTAGGAATTTACCTGTAACTACAAACTCTTTACAGAAGTTCAATGTTTGCTCTGAGAAGTTAAGTGAACAAAATTTATTAAATGGTAAGTTTTTATATAAAATTCTTTGTCTGATGATTAAAAATCTTTATTCATAGCTTTAACTTTTACAATTTTAAAGACTTTTTCATATATTACGGTCAAAAACTCAGAGTGTAATTAACATTTTATTTTATAATAATCAACATATCAAAGCTTACACCACTGGCTTGGTCAGAAAGCGGGAGCGATCGCTCTTGGATACTGACCACCAAAATTATATTTAATTGCGAAGAACTGGCCAGGTTTTTTAGTCGTTTTGAGAACATTTATGTTTATGAACGTAACAAAAATTTTTTGTCGGATTTCAAAGTCACCAACTTTGAAATCCATTTGAAATCAACTGTTGAAAAAAACAACAGACTATTCATATCAGTTTAAAATTTTAACAGTTGCTGGTGGTTCATTATTATTTATTATATAAACGTTTATTTAAATTTATCTAATAGACAAAGGTAATACGATATTTTTATAGATGATATTGTTTTTTAAATTGTATTATTAAAATTCAGAACTAAAATATGTATAAAAAAAATTATATTCAAACATTGGACAAGGTCTGTACTATACCGGGAAAATCTGGAAAATATGTTAATATTGGCCAAAGTGGTGGAAAACCTGGAAAAGTCAGGGAATTATTTTTTTTTTTAGATAGTCATGGAGAAGTCAGTAATTCTAGTTAAGAAGTTACTCATTTTGCAATTGAACGCTGTATTTTGAAAACGTGAAGAGTCACACTTTTTAAAATTGAGGTTATTTGAAAAGAATATTTTTTTTAGTAAAAGATAAAATTATAAGATAAAAAAAAGATTTTTTAGATAAAATAAAGATTTTTTTTTGATAAAAAAAATAATTTTTAGTTAAAATAAAAACAAAATTTTTTTTAGGAAAAATGTTTTTTACTCTCCTGTAAAATTTTAATTTTGTGACTTGTCACATTTTCAAAATACAGCGTTCAATTAAGCTGTTATGTTTTTTTTTGGTGTTACTAATTTATTTTTTCTGAAACATGTTTTTCTTAGTGTTCATTCTTAATCATCCTTAATAATAAGAACCATACTAACATGTATAATAAGATCTCTACTAATATCTTACTTAAGTAATAGCTAAGTTTTATATGTTTTGTCATTCAAAGCATGTATATTCTTAGCATTTCCATTACAGTAGATAGTAGTTTTAAACATTTTGTAAAAACCATTGTTAAAAATCGTCAGGAAAATTCATCTGATTTTTCAAAAAAGTCATTTAATTTTATATAAATAGTTGGCTACGAACCCTGTTGGAGAAACATTGTTTTAATATGAGTTTTTTTGTTTTACATTGCAATGTGTATCTCAAACAATAATAAGAATTGTTTTGTGTCAGTCCCAGAAATTGAATGCGCACCTGCAAATTTCATAATTCATAAAAATATTATGAATCCATTAGCAAGTATATATTTTTATCATTAAAGGTTTGGCCCTCTGTCTTTAATTTTATCTGTTTTGTTAGTGATTGTTGTATTTACTTTCATAAATTCTAAATATAATATATAATTAGTTGTATAGTTTCTTAATAATATAATTAACTTTATTGTTTCAAGATAAAGTTGTATCCTTGATAGATATTCTGGTATTATTGGCACAATGGGCAAGCATTGAAGTGCAACTTGGTGAACTACAAAATACATCAAATTCAGTTATAAAATTTTGAGTATCAAAGGTATGCTAATTATTGTATTGCCTGAAAGAGTGTCATTGCCATTAAAAGCAGTGAAGAATTCAAGTACTTTGGAAGAAAAAAGACAAGAAAACACTTCAGTAAATGGTAAATATTTTTTTATGATCTGTTTATGCATTTAGTATGATATGTAGTACAATTTATATACTTTAAATAAAATACTCTTTGAAGATTTTTTGTAAATGACATTTTATATTAATTTAAGTCTAAACTAAAGTTACTTTAATTACTGCCAGGCTGTGTATTTTTGCAAGTTAATTATTTGGCACAAATTGGAGTGAAAGACGAAGGAGATTGTATATGTTATTTACTAAGAATAGTTTATTAAAATGGCCTAGCTCTAAAATTAAATTATGCAGGGAGAGGATAAAAATTGGAATAGGAAAAATGTTGATTGCGTATGCTGCTATTGGTAAGTGGTTTAGAAAAGTTTATTTTTTCAGTTTCAATTTTGTATTACAGAATTACTTTCAATTTGTTATGTTTCTTTGGTGCATAATTAAACAAACAACTATTTTTTTTTGCAGAAACTGTGAAGTCAATTAAGCATGGCTTATGCAGACATATGATAGAGATAGCGGAAGAAAAAATGATAATCGTGGGGACCAAATATCATAAGCTAAACACGATTCAATAACAAGTAGCTCAGTCAATATCGAAACAACTCTATAAATTTTATAGTGAATTTTTTTATTTAAAACTCAATGTGTTAGTTTTTGGTATAAGTTTGGTGTTTGCAATATGTATATTTAACCGAGAAATTATGTTTAATAAATAAATGTTTATACTTGTATAATACATTCTTTTTTTTCTCTATAATTTTTCAATGTAGCGATGCAAATCATCTTATTTGTAACAACGATCTAATGTTGCATAAAACGTTAGGCCAATATAAAAATAATAATCGTATAACATACGATTATGGGCCAATTTTGTATACAACGTTGGGCCAATGTTGTATAAAACGTTGGGCCAATGTTGTATACAACATTGGCCTAACGTTATATACAACGTTGTGCCAATGTTGGGTAAACGTTGTATACAACATTGGGCCAATGTTGTACACAACATTGGGCCAATACCTAACCAATGATCAAACCTGCATTGGGCCAACATCGACTTTCAACGTTGGGTCAATGCATCACCGTGCATTGGCCCAACATTGGGCCAATGTAAGCTTGCTGTCGGGGATATTATTGTTATGATCTGTAGGGGCTCTACGAAAAGATTAGGTTGGTATTTTGCCATCCATATCTTTAAGCCCCTGACTTTTTATTACTTGTACATTTGTAATTAGATTTTATTTTTGGTGAAAGGAAATTGTAATTTATATAAACAGCAAAATAAAATAAAAAATAAATAAATATTAAGTTTAGGGGCGCTCGTGGCACCCATTTCTAGCATACATTTACATATATAAATTTTATTTATTTTGAGTTCAATAATGTAATTGTTTAAATAATAATTTATTTAGAACTTAACATTAATAGGCACTTCAACATTTTTTTAAAAATGTAAAATGAAAACAAAACAATGTAAAATGAAAATGTAAAATGAAAACAAAAAGTTAGAGCTAAACATGATCAGCTAAAAAATAACAAACTTTTCCGTTATATCATTATTCCGTTATATCATAAATAAAATTGAAAGAGAATCAATAATTATATATTAGTTATACCCAATTCACGCTCACATATCTCGTAGACTAGGCTGTTAAAACTTTTAACAGCCTAGTCTACGAGATATGTGAGCGTGAATTGGGTATAACTAATATATAATTATTGATTCTCTTTCAATTTTATTTACTGATTATATAGAAAAAGATCTCATATTGTCGAACCAATATATAGAGTTGATACCAATATTATATTGTTTTAACTTAAAACATTAAATAATTTTGAAATTGCAATATTTTTTTTAATTATAATAACAATAAAGTGTTACTGTATTATAAAGATGAACAACAATACAATTTTTATTGTTATCGTAGTGGGTTATTACAATAGAATCTTTTTTAGATATTGTTATTGTATTATGAAGATGAATTACAATACAATATTTATTATTATTGTACTACAGTACAATACAATATTTACACTGAAAGTCTTCTCGAAACTATTAACAATCAGGGTATTGTTGGCACATCTATAAACGGTAACTTTACTGGTGTGATAGCCTATGCGGATGATATAATACTTTTAAGCTCTACCTTATCTGGTCTCAAAAAGCTTATAAAAACATGCAATATTTACAGTAATCTAAATTGTATTAAACTGAATGCCGAAAAGACTGAGTTCTTGATCTCAGGTAAAGCCCAAATACAAACTAATACAATAACAATTTCTGGTAATAAAAAAAATCTTCAGAATAAACTTAGATATCTAGGATTTACATGGGATACTAAACATTCAGTTTTTGCTTCACTCGGTTATTCAAATGTTGATGAAAAAATATAAAACTTTAGAGCTGTTGTTCAAACTCTTATTCAATCTGGAATCCGGTTTGCCCATCCCAGTTCTATTTCCTATATATATAAATCATTGGCAGTCCCCACCTTAACTTATGGTATGGAGCTATGTGAAAATAACCCTGGTCTGACGAAAAAGCTAGATATAATTGGAAGGAGTGCGCTAAAATCGTTTTTAAATGTTTCGAAACATAGTAAAAACTATATGAATTCGTTATTTAAAATCCAGGAAATTTCAAAAAGTGTTCAACAAAATAAGTTAAACTTGTTCCTTCGACTTCTTAATAACAAAACAACTGCAGACATTATCTTTTCACAACTGCAACACCCGTTATTTCAACATTCGTTTGTTAGTGATATTCAGGAATTATGCCGTCTTCAGATATTAAATTTTCAAAACCTAATTCAAAATAAAAAGAAGGTAAAAATACCACTTTCTAAAAGTAAAATTCCTTCCGAAGTTGAACGAAACTTGAAGTATGCAATAGAGTGCTGGAATGCCAAAGAGCAAAGAGGAGTTTTCAAGCAAATTCTGGAAGAAAACGTTTTTAAGCAAAGTCATCCGAAATAAATTTCTTATTTTTTTCATTTTACCTTGTAAATTGGGTGTTAAATAAATAAAATAATAATAATACAGTATTAAAATAATTGTAAATCACAAGTATTATTGTTATTGTTTCTAAAAAGTTAATACAATAACAATAGGTATCGTTCTGTTTTTGTTTTTTTCATTACAATTACAACAGTCCAAACTCTACATAAAATAATTTTTTGTTTTTATTAGCATTAAAGGTAGAAATTTCAATAACTTACGTCATCCGTCAAAAATATTACGTTTTACATTTAAAAACAATAAATTAAAAAATATAAATGCTTCGTTTTCTAGAAAAATAAACGACCTAGGAATCAGAGAGAATGGACATTTATGGCTAGTGTTCCAAATTTAAATTATCAAGCATAGAGCTATGTTCTCAAAATCTTAGTTGGCCCAATTCAGGTTTTCCGCAAAATATGCGAAAACCAGAAAAGTGATTCTAAATCATTAAAAATGCTTCAGCAATATTTAATTTTTTTCCTCTTAATTTGAATATTAATTTAACAAGGAAAGATGGATCTTTAATATTTTTAATTTGAAGGAGAAAGCGTTTGTAGAAAAAAGTTACTGTAATTAAAGTTTGTGAGTTTTATACTTTTTATGCGAAATTTTTTTTTTTATAAACTCATGGCGTCACGTTCGTTTTTATATTAGCGACTTTAATTGTTTTAATGACATTTCTTGTAGTACTTGATAATTTATTTATTTAATTTATAACACATACAATACAGCTAAGTAGTAATATTTTATAACCTAACAAAAAAACTAAGTACTAATATTTTATATATTTTATAATCTAACAAAAAAACTTCAAGAACAAAAAATCAAAAATGCTATTTCAAAAAATCAGTTTGTATTTTTACAAAGATGTGTTTCTAATAATATAATCCCATCATCATTTAAAGTTAAATCGCCAATTAAATCAAAAAAAAGCTGAAAACTTTACCTTGGAATATCAACGAAAGTTACTAATACACGCTCGTAACGAAGCAAAATATCGACTTTATAAAAGTAAGGGATTTATTAAAATTATTAATTTGGAATTAAAAAGCATTTTAACGCCTTATCATTACGAAATCGTTGATAGTGTTACAGAGAAATCGAAAAATCATCACTTCAATATTAAAAAAACACTTTTAAAAGAAAAATATGAAAATCTTTATCAAAAAACCCATATAAAACTAAATTGCATAAGAAAAAATAAAAAAATAATTAAGCCAGGAGTTTTAAATCTTACTCAAACACCGTTAGACTCTTCTACAGTCAAACTGTTGGGCTTGGGGCCAAATTTTGCACCTTCATATAAAAAAGTACCTTTTATGGAACTGTTAACCCCGATTGAGTCATTTGCTTTGCATTTGGAAAAACAAAACAAAAATGCTGACGCAGAGAATATACGACAAAATATTAGTAAAAACTTGATAAGTTCTCTAAAAAGGAAATTACCAGACAATCTCACAAGGCAACAAAGGTTCGCCTTAAATAATCTAAAAAAGAATAAAGACGCTCTAAGATTTTACCCGTTTGATAAAGGTTCAGGGTTTGTAGTAATTAACGAATCAAATGCTTTTAAGAAATTAGAGGATGAAATTAAAAAGTCCGTAATTATCAATTATGACCCTACACAAACCATCACAACAAAGTTTCAGAAGTTTTTACGTAAGTTGAGAAAAGAAAACAAATTTGATAAAAAAAACTTATTTTCAACTATACCCTTCTGATTGCATTCCTCCACGACTATATGGCGTCATAAAAGCTCATAAATCAGATAAAAACTATCCAATGAGACCAGTGGTTTCCACTATCGGTACTCCGCCTTATGGTTCTTCAGAATATCTTGTTAAAATAATACAACCAACTTTAAATAAAAATAAAACAAGGTTACTGAACTCGTCTTCATTTGTCAACGAAGCAAAATCCTGGGTAATTTCTCCTAATGAAATTCAAGTCTCGTTTGATGTGATAGCATTGTACCCCTCGATTCCAATTGACAGAGCAATACCTGTAATTATTGATATACTCAACAATGATAAAGAAGATCTTGCGAATAGAACTAAATTAACTCTTACTGATATTCACCAACTAATTGAACTCTGTCTAAGCCAATGCTACTTTTTATATAAAAACGTGATTAGAACTATACCGAATTCTGGCACCTATTGGACTATCACTTATGGTCGTTGTTGCAGAGGCATTTTTGCAACATTTAGAAACAAAAACTTTGAGAGTTGCAGAAATAAATTTATTTTCACCAAAGTCATTCAAACGCTATGTAGACGACAGCCATGCGAGATTTGATTCATTAGAAAAACACGACAAATTTTTGGAATTGTTAAATCAACAAGATCCTGCAATTCAATACACATCGGAAATAGAAAACGAAAGGAAAGAACTAAACTTTTTAGATATAATAATAATAAATACAAACAATTTCCACTATGATTTCAAAATCCATCGAAAACCCGCAATTACGAATATACAAATAAAACCGAATTCTAACATTAATCCTGCAATAACATCTGGAGTCTTCAAAGGTTTTATATCAAGAGCCTCAAAAATTTGTTCTCCAAAATACCTTCAAGATGAAATACAATTTATAATAAATATGTTTGTCGAAAATGGCCATAAAAAATCTGAATTAGAGCTTATAACAAAAAATTATCTCAAAATCAAAAATAATCCTGTTGGTGTAGTTGCAGATCAAACAAAAAATGGTAACATAA